TAAATATTAGTGCTGTCAAACGATTAATCGCGATTAATCGCATCCAAAATAAAAGTTTTTGTTTACATAATGTGTGTGTGTGTACTGTGTATATTTATTATGTATATATATAAATACAAACAAATGCATGCATGTATATATTTAAGAAAAATATGTTATGTTTATATGTTTAATATATTTACATATAATATAAAATATAAAAATATAGTACACACATATATTATGTAAACAAAAACTTTTATTTTGGATGCGATTAATCGTTTGACAGCACTACTAAATATATATATATACGATTGTAACAAGCACAGACTTGGTATGAAGATCTGACTGACCTGCAGGATCTGTTTGGGTCTGAAACACAGAAACGGCAGGTGAAGATCGAGGTCCATGACGGGCCGATCCACATCCAGTCTGGAGGGAAGTTCAATCTGAAAGGGTCTGAGATTGAACACCTAGAGGAACATCCACAAAGACCAACAATGAAGAAGGTGATCTGAAACAGCTTGCTTAACTTGCACAGGTAAAATAAGGCAAATTTATAAGTAAACAGTGATGATGCTCACCACATGCAGCGGTCCAGGAGGCGGGATGGGCACCAGCGCCAGTTTGGCAGAAAACTCCTTCACCTGCTCTTCAAACTCACACATGCGGGACGTTTTTAGCTGGAGCAAGAAACTACGACAGAGAAATAAACTGATTAGAACAAATACTTCATGTTACAGCTAAATAATTTTATGGAGTGGCTCTTACCTGGACAGACAGTCTCTGAGGGCGTTATAATATGGATATTTGGAGATGATACAGATGCTGTATGTGGTGAACAGACGCTGGAGTTTGTTCAGCCGATGGCCGTTTTGATGAATCCCATTATCTGGATGGAACTACAGTAACACAACATGACAAATGAATAAGCGACTACATTTTAAAAAACGTTGGGAATTTAATAATTATTATTCATATTTATTATAAATAATACATATTTTTACATACACTATCATTTAAAGGTTTGGGGTTAGTATTAGTTTTATTCAGCAAGGATGCATTAATTGATCAAAAGTGACAGTAAAAACATTTATAATGTTACATAAGATTTCTGCTTCAAACAAATGCTGTAGTTTTAAACTTTCTGTTCATCAAAGAATCCTGAAAAATAAAATGCATCACAGTTTCCACAAAAATATGAAGCAGCACAACTCTTTTCAACATTGATAATAATCAGAAATGTTTCTGAAGAATCATGTGACGCTGAAGACTGGAGTAATGATGCTGAAAAATCCAGCTTTGACCACAGCAATAAATTACATTTTAATATATATTCACATAGAAAACTATTATTTTGTTATTATTCTATTTTAAATTGTCATAGTATTTCACAATATTACTGTTTTTCTGTACTTTTGATCAAGTAAATGCAATAAAGAATCATCTTACGACCCCCTTTGAATGGTAGTGTATGTTGTTTTTTTATCATAATTATTACAGTAGTATAGATAATACTCTCAGCTAATGATAAGACATCTCACGTGAACAGGTTTGCAGTACTGAGCCACCACACCATGAGTCTGGTTCCCAAACACATCCGTGAACACCAGGAAATGATAGTCGTCTTCTCTGCTCTCACTGGTTATTCTCAACCCATCTGTCCAAAGACAAACCAGACACTGTCAGCATTACTGTTAGACACAGAACACCAGACTGAGGCATCTGCGAGGGTTACCTGGGAAGCAGAGCTGCGGCAGGGCTATCAGGTCAATGTTCTGAGGTACGCTGAGGTCGTCTGACGCGGCGACCGCTGGTTCGTTGGTTTGGCCAGAATTGCTGATGGTGGAAACCAGTCGGTCTCTCTTCTTCTTAAAGGAGCGTCTCCGCTGGACTCTGCTGAAGGCCGGAGCGTGGTCGTGTTCAGTGCCGTTACTGGAACTCTCCTTCGTCACAAACGGCGGCGCGTGAACCTGCAGCACCTCCGCCTCCACCAGAGGCTCTTTGTCCTTACCCTGCAGCTGCAACCAAACAAGATCACAGTCAACATGCTGTATAGAAATATACACATATTATACACACATACTTATATTTTGGAAAGTTTTTACAAGGGAATTTTTTATTATAATTTTACATACAAGTGTACTAAGTATATAAATATAGACCTTTCCCGATCCCCCAATCTCTCCATGTCGCTTCCTGTCACTACCAGTCATATATATATTATTTCTATATTTCTATAAATACATTATTTATAAAATGCATAAAATATATAAAATGTGTAATATATATATATATATATATACACACACACAGATATTTTATATTTTCTAATATTTTACATTAAAATAATAACATAAATATTTTAAAAACATTAATAATATTAACATTAATAAATTTTAATTTTTTTAATTAATTTAATTATACTTTTTGCTTTTCAATTATATTATATATCATCCTGTATAATATAATATATATTAGAATATATATATATATATATATATATATTATACAGGATGATATATAAGATATCATACAGGACAATATCTTATATTTTACATGGGATTTTAATAATTATATTACATACTGTATGTATAATTATTCACATTTATTTTATAAAAAGGTTGTTATTTTATCATCATTATTAATTATCAATAGAATTGTAACCAGCATTTTCCTAGTGTTTTGCTCAACATTTTGCACAGAATGGCTGTGAACACTGAAATAAACAGCTTGAGACGTGTCACCAGGCTTAGTTCTTTCAGACGTTCGTTGGATACTCCGAGCACCACACACGCCTCCAACAGACCAGACGGGACGTTTTCTGCCATCAGAACCGGTTCTGCTGAGCTCTGGTCTCGATGGTCTTCCAGCCACTCACATACACTAGTCTTCAGTCTTCAGTCCCATTGTGATTCTTCAGCTTCCTGTAGGTCTGTTGAAATGGTTACTAAGACTTCAGTATATGCCACAGCAGACATTTTTAGTAGCACTGACTGTAAAAGCAAACGCTATTACTATTGCTTATGGTTAGTCATGCGACGTCTAGAGACCAGAATATCACAGAGACTAAAAAAACACCTATTGATATTGTGTAAGAAGCAGCTATTGCAATCTTGAAGTTGCAGCTATAAGAATAATTTATATTTAAAGATGCACGCAAGCAAAAAGGGAAGTTTGCACAGTATGTGGTACAAAAACTGCGTCACCCATAAAAGCATCACTATGCGAGACGTATAGAGAACATGTGTTTCACAATCAAAAGTTAATGATCCAGCGTCTCTCATCTGAGTCAAGTGGCTGATTTACATGTTATCATAGATTAATGTGTCATCATTCACAAAACTTTGTCAGATCTTAAAGAAAAAACAGCCCTGCCGAGACAAAAGCCATCAGCTGCAAATATTTACCCTTCCTTACTTATAAAATATGTACTCTAGAAAAGGGGTCTTTAAACTGGAGTCTGTGGAAAAGTTTAGAGAAAAACAGTGACAAATGTAAAAAATAAATATATAATAAAACATAAGATTTAAATTATATATATATATATATATATTACTAGGGTTTCCAAAATATATTTTGGAATATTCCAGGGAATTTTGGAAAGTTTCCGGAAATGTTCCACCCCTTTTCAACCCTATATATTACATCTAACAGTACAGTGCTAATAACAGTGTTATTTTTAGCATCAATGAGATACATTACAGTTTTCATTAATAGTCTGAATTAGTTTTTTATTTTTATATACTCTGATATTATTATTATTTGTATACTACTTATTATTATTTATTCATAAATTGTTTTTTAATGTCTATATAGTTTTTATTATTTTCATTTTATTTATTTATAGTTATTTTAGTGCATAAAGTAAATGAAAATGACAAATATTTCCTTGGCAACTAGCTGAATTCAAATCTGTTTAAGGTTTTTTTATACTTTATTTGATTAAAATATGGTTTTAGTTAACTATAACAGCCTTGAATAAATAAATGAAAAGGCTAAAATAAATAAATAAATGAAAAAGCTCACATAAATAAATAAAACATCTTACAGTTTAAATTGGGTCTTTATACATCAAAATAAATAGCTGACTTAAAACATTTCAGGATGGGGGTCCCTCACATGAGGATGGTGATATTTGTGACCCTGGAGCACAAAACCAGTCTTAAGTCACTGGGTAAAGATCGTGTTTCATGGAGATATTTTGTAAATTTCCTACCGTAAATATATCAAAACTTCATTTCTGATTAGTAATATGCATTGCTAAGGACTTCATTTGGACAAATTTAAAGAAGATTTTCTGAATATTTAGATTTTTTTGCACCCTCAGATTCCAGATTTTCAAATAGTTGTATCTCGGCCAAATATTGTCTGATCCTAACAAACCATACATCAATGGAAAGCTTATTTATTCAGTTTCCAGGTGACCTAACAAATTGAAAACCCCAGGTCTACATGTTAAAGTCAATGTCAAACTGAATTTGCAAACAATGTAGGCTATTCCACAATGTGAAGTATTTGTGAGTGAAACAGGATATCAAGAAGATTTTCTCCACTTAAGTGAATGTTTTCAAATTTGCATCATTAGAGGTCAGCAATAAATAATACAGTCTAATAGTCTGGTTCTCCCTGAATGCTCCTCTGTTTTTCCATCAGAATGACTACATGCAGTGAACCGCTCCCAGCACAACATCTGCTTCTTGTCAGAAACTGGATCAAGTTCAGACTATAAGACTAGGACTGATGAAAGTATGGAGTTTGTCACAGTTCTGTCCTCTCAGAAAGACCAAAGCATCTACTGTAAGACTGTACGTGTGTTTACACCACATGCACAATAGTTGCAACACAGACTCTGGTCTTCATGATTCCTGAGCAAAGCGGCGAGCGAAGTCACGTACAGACAGAGAGAGCATTCATACTGCTGGAGCCAAGTTTGACAAAGATGTCAGACCAGTTGGGAAAAACCAAGAAAAGCAAGGTTTGTCATTCCTGAGCACATACCTCCTTCTGTTTAGCTATACTACTGGAAACAAGTGCTCTAACCTTCTGTATAATTATTACATATGACCCCCTTTTATGAATTAAAAATTCATGTCACACAGCAGAAACATTTAAGTTAATTCGTTTAACAAGTTAAATGGTTGTATTAAATTACATTAAAGGAGACATATTATGCCCCTTTTTACAATGTGTAATATAAGTCTCTGGTGTCCCCAGAATGTGTCCGTTAAGTCTCAGCTCAAAATACTCCACAGATCATTTATTATAACATTTTGAAAATGCCTATTTTGAGTGGAAGCAGAAACATGCTGTTTCGCACCTGTCTCTTTAAATGCAAATGAGCTGCTGTCCCCGCCCCCTTTTCCAGAATAAAGCTGCGCCATTACAGCTCGGACCTGCTAAAAATATCTGTTTTGGTTCTGATTATCATGTTTATCGAGCTGAAATCATGCAGTTTAAACCATATGAGTTTAAACTTCTGATTAGTGGTCGAATGATATATCGCCAAGGCCGATATATCGGCCGATATCTGCCATTTTTCAAATATCGCATCGGCCGATAAGTTTTTCTGTTTGGCCGATGTGTTCGAGGCTTCTTTTATTTTGACGGCACGTCAGACTTTTATTTTGACGGCGCCGAGAACGGCTGCGGCAGCGCCTGAGCACACAATGGCCCTGTCCCAAATGGTACCCTAAGCCCTCGCGGTCTTCCTCGGAGTCCGCACTTTCGTGACGTAATGCCGCTTTGACTGTGGGGTAGAAGTCTGCTGCGGAGCTCGCCCCAGTGCGGACTCGGCAGAAGTGCGGATCGAGGGCGCATAATGGCCGCAAAGGGGGCGCTCGCGAGCACCCTTCTGAACGCTAAAATGACAAATGGGACACCCTACGGTCTCGTGGACTTAACGGCGAGCACCCTTCTGAATGCTAAAATGACGAATGGGACACCCTACGGTCTCGTGGACTTAACGGACACGCGCACGCGGTGGCCATTGTAAGTCTGTAAGAACGCAAGTGCACATGAAGTGTTCCATTTGGGACAGGGCCAGTGCTCTCACATTCTCCCTCTTGTTCGCTGTTGTCATTCAGTTCTGTCTAATACGGATAGAAGTCTATCTAATAATCAGATAGAACTGTTAAAACAGTTAGCATGTTTTGCTCAAACTTTCGCCATGGCATTACAACTGGTACATCGTTCTCGCTTGCAAAAACACAGTAACGTTTCACCTGGGTGAAAACTTACAGATTAAGGGGCGGTAATATTATAATGAGATCCCTTTGCAACGTCACCAAGGGAGCGATTTTCGGTTTAGCCCTGCTCTTTTGTTATCTTATATTTATAGAATCGTCATAAAATTTTGAAATATGTTGTTTTTGCATTTTGAAATGTAAACTCAAAAACGAAGTGCAGAATATTTTTGTCCAGTTTTTTAAATATATATATATATATATATATAT